AGTTTGTGTGTGTGTGCTGGCAGAAAAGGGAGGCCAGTATCAGTCAGTAAATCTGGGTTTTTGCAATTTTGACAGTATCTAGGACTGCAAATGACTGATCTGCATGGTGCTGCGAGAACTTGCTGGTTGTGAACTATGCCTACCGTCTTCTCCCGAACAGAACGCTGTATTCAGGACAACTTTCCGCCCAGATATAGCGATAATGACCGGACGTTCTATTCGGGTGAAGACGGTAGCCTCTGAATTTCAGCTGTTGAACAAGGTTGTGGTGGGATGTCCTGAGAGCTGTAGGAGGCACTCTGTCCAGTTTGTGGTGAAAGTCTAGGGTTCACTGCGATCATTTGGGCATGCAAGCCTCTCGCSACCTTGGGTTTCTTGCTGCCTTCCACTGAAGATGCCATGGAAAAATTTAGAGCAGTCCATCGTGTCTGTGGTAGTTGTAGACGAAGTGCAACACCGTGGGTGGCTGTTTGCTACCATGCACACTTATTTMTGTGGACAATKTTCACTGAAAGGCTAGCAGACGTACAAACATGAAGTATACTGGCAGTTGGACCCTCCAGATATGGACCCTCTGATTGTGGACCTGCTGAATGCACTCTCGGTCAGGTCTTTGGGAGTCCAAGTGCTGGATAGATGATTGAAATACTGGGGTCAGCAGAGTGGCTTGTAGTAATTAGCTGTCTGTGTGTGTGGGTGTGCATGTGTGTGCGTGTGTGCGTGTGTGTGTGTGTGTGTGTGTGTGTGTGTGTGTGTGTGTGTGTGTGTGTTTTCGCTATAGACAGCACCACAAGAAAAGCTTTTGTGTTTTCCTGTGTGTGTGTGTGTGTGTTTTCGCTATAGACAGCACCACAAGAAAAGCTTTTGTGTTTTCCTGTGTGTGTGTGTGTGTGTGTGCGTGAGAGAGAGAGAGAGAGAGAGAGAGAGAGAGAGAGAGAGAGAGATGCTCCTGCATATCTGACAGTTCTGTGCATGTGTTCGTTATGGGGTAAAATAAACCTATGTTGGACAAAACGTTTTTTTGATGCTTGATGGATGACAAATTTTCTCACCCTGTGTGTTTGTCCGCTCTTGCAGGTGACTGCGGAGGCGAAAGTGGCCTTTGATGAGTCCCTCACGAAGGTCCTTTCACACCCATCAGAAATGGTGAGGCTTGGATAAGGCCACATGGTGGTTTCTTAGCCGTGAGTCTGTTTCTCGCCATGAGCAATTGTTGTCCAGTCTATCTGGCCTAATCTCCGTAGTTAATTTGTTTCGAGCATGAATGCCTCTTTGCTTGCCTTTCAATGGTCAGCAGTCGGCCTCTGGCCTCCGGATTCTTACAGTATCAGCAGTCGACCTCTGGCCTGCGGATTCTATCCAAGTGGTCTCTTTGGTTTCAGTTCTTACAGACTGGAATGGTAAACGTTCTTCAAGAGGAGAGAGAGAGAGAGAGAGAGAGAGAAGCCTGCATTTGCTGAATTCAAAGTATGGCCATGGAATTCTGATTTGCATTCATTATCACCAAGCACTCTAGAATATCGTTTGAGAGAGAGAGAGAGAAGCCTCCATTTACTGAATTCAAAGTATGGCCATGGAATTCTGATTTGCATTTATTATCACCAAGCAGTCTGGAATATCGTTTGAGAGAGAGAGAGAGAGAGAGAGAGAGAGAGAGAGAGAGCAATCTGACATTTTGCAAGGCATGTCCGTCGTCCGACCCCTGGGCTTTCGACTGTTGGGGCTTTCATTCTCAATTTTTGGTTTTCCATTTGTGTTGTGTGCTGAAGGTGTGCAGCACTGTATCTGCATGTATATAATGTATTGGGTTTGTGAAGAATTCACCATCTGTAATTAGATTCTCTACCAACTGTATCAGTAATCCGGAAACATTAACACTAAGTCCCTGGCCAATCAAACGCCAAAATACCACCTGGTCATCTCACTCTTTCTGCGATAATCATGTCTGATCATACTGTGTGGGGTCTGTGGACAGTGTTCACAAGAGTTTGCCTTTTGTGTCAAACCTACTTGTGCTCTTGTTTCTCCGCTCGTCAAATTTACCCCCGCCATCTGGGATCATGTACAGCTGACGTGTCTCCTTCCAAACTGCCCCATCAGGGGATCATTTACAGCGGGGGAGTGCTGTTTCTGAGCTTATCTGTCTATGCAATGCCAGCAATGTCTTTTTTGTTTGCCTTTTTCAAGTTTTTTCTCCATACTATGGCATTCTGTGTTCTGATTTTGGATGCATGAATTCAGCTACATGGAGAATACAATATTGGTGTCAGCATTTCGGTTTTGCGCATTTTCGTTGAGCCGATCCAGTGCGTTGTGTTTTTCTTGTGGGGAGGTGAGGGTGGTGGCGTGGGGGGAGGAGGTGGTCATTCCGATATGGGAAAATAATTCAAGAGATAGCACAGGGAAGAACCAGGCTGTAGCAAAGCAAGTGTACAGTAGTCTCTGACGTTTACACCATTGTTTGTTGATTGCGCGTGTTAAGGTACGGGTAGAGGCAGCCTTGACTGTACGGGCGCTGGCGGTTGCAGATCCAACAAGTGTGCATGGGTTAATGTCTTGTGGATTGACTGCTTTGCGAGCCCTGCGAGACTCTGCTACTGTGGAAAAGGTACGGAATGAATTGTAAATTTGTAAAACTTAAAAGCCACACAAGCTTTGTTGATTGGGTGAACTGTGCACCCACCGCTGAATGTGCTGTTTCACAAATCATACAAGCCTTCGCCCTGTTGTAGGGGAACAGGGAGCATTGACGGACCAAATATTCACTTACCTCCTTCATTGAGAATGCTCATCCCTCTCCTGTATGACTCTGTTGATTCCTGGTCTCTCTCTCTCGCTCACCCCCATGTACTCTCTCTCTTTCTTTCTCTCAGTGACTGGAAGGAAGGAAGAAGATTTAAGTGGGTAGGAAAAGGAGGGCAAATCAATAGAGAAATCAGCAATAGGCGTCCGAAAGCAGCGAATTTTGTAAAGTACAGAGCGTATGAACGTTGAGAGATCGACCCAAACTGATTTTCGCATACCATTTGCATGGAGTCGCCCAAACCGATAGGAAGTATTTTTGACAGCGAGAAGAAACTGGCTTGCTTTCCGGAGCGAGTTATCATTGGATGATGGAGTTGGTAACTTGGCAGTCTATGGTTCCTAGTGGAGGGGTAGATCTGCACGGAAAAGAACAGTGACGGGCATCAGCTGAACAACTGAACATGAAACTGTACAGTCCCGCTTAGAGAACACCCATAGCCTGAGCTGAAGATAAGGACCACTGTGTTAGCGAACCGGGGAGATCATGATAAACGATGTAGGAGAAAATGTAAAACTAAATGGCTTATTTTGTTGCAGCAAAACTTAAGCGGAAAGAGAAGGCGAAGGAACAGCTCGGCCCAGAATAGGAGCAGTTGCCATATATGGCAACTATTATCAGCTAGTCAACTGTTAGGGTTTGGCACCTCTGCTCCATTATGTCGGAACTAGGTTTCTAACTCGACATGGTTTGCTTGGTATGACATGGTTTTCCAGTAGGTTTTCGAGTGGGTTTCTAACTCGATATGGTTTTCCAGTGGGTTTTCTGACATGACATGCTTTCCTTGGTTTGCTTGGTATGATATCATGCCGGTGTGGGAAATGAGCATGGTGCTTTGTCAATGGGGTTTCCAGTGGGTTGTCCAACTGGAAATGGTTTCCTAACTGGACATGGTTTGCTAATTCCACATATATATTTTTTTCTAACTCCACATGGTTTGCTTGGTATGATATCACGCCAGTGTGGGCATGAGCATGGTGCGTTGTCAGTGGGTTTTCCAGTGGGTTTTCTAATTCGACATAGTTTCCTTTGAAGGTGAGGATGCGAGCCTGGGCCAAGATGAAGAAAGATGGGAAAGGGCAGCTAGTGTTGGTAGATGTAGAAGTCTTTAGAGGCAGGATAGGGGGCCTCATAGATAGTGGGGCCACCCGTAGCTACATCAGCCGTAGAGCGAGCCCATAGTCAACATCCTCGTAGACAATCGCACAATGCGAATCAAGGATTACGTCATGGGAGTCCAGGCGTACTTCGCCTAGAGCAAGATGGGGAGGTAGAGAGAGTTCTCAATTCCCCGACTCTCCTCGTAGAGGACAACCTCCCATTTGATATGGTCCTAATAGAGCACGAGTGTAGGCTCCCTAGTCCCTCAGGTGGTGTCAAGACGGCCCACCTGTTTCATGTGTCATGAGTAGACAACCCTCTGGCACATTGTTGTCTCGGTGCTCCCGCGTTCGCGCGATTAGTGAAGGAGCAGTTAGAAGAGCAGAGGAGGCTGCCAGTCCTGTGAGGGAAGCGCCTAGAGAGACCCTAACACAAGCAGTCTTTGGAAAGCTAACTAGACGCTGGCCAGCAACCTCTGCCATAGACACATATGGGTTGGGAGTTTTTACTTGGGGCGCGCCCTCATCTCGACATGGCCTAGGGGTACGGGCAGTTGGTATCCCTATCGGCGGTTGCCTTTTGCTGACTCTGCAGCAGCTTTTCGGACATTCCTATATTTTGGACAATATTTGACAATGTGCTCCGGATCACCACAAAACACACACTGCCAATTATCTATCCTATACTGCCAGTCTTTCTTTTCGATGCCCAAGGTTTCCCAGGGCCTGCCCTGAGGCAGACCAGGGTGCCATTCACCCCTTCTGGGAGGTGACTGATTTGAACGTGGACAGTTTGATGGGGGACCTTGACCCCTTCCTCCCTCTTGGCAGCCTCCTCTGCCACCAACCTCTTGGCCGCCCTGTCCTCGATCAGCAAAGCCCCGGCCCCTTGGGCCCGGCCTTTCCCTCTTCCTTGCGGCCTCCCTCCCTTGACCTCCACCACTGTTTTCCTGCTTCTTCCTCCTCGAGGCCCCACTCGATTTCGCTGTAGGGGACCTACTCCAGACCACCCTCATCTAACGTAAGAATAAGGCTATCTTTAGCCTTGACTTGACTGGTGATGGTCCGACCTTTCCACTTTTTGCCTTTGTCGAGGTCCTTGTGCCAGAAAGTGGTAACTGGCGTGGACTGGGCCTCGTAGCCAACAACCTCTCTACTAAGTGTATCGTACGTCATGTTGGGCTGTTGCTTCTTATCGAAAAAGTGCCCATGCAGAGTCTCGGGCATGGCGCGAAAGAATAATTGGACCAATTCGGGCTCAGTGACCTCATGGCCTGGGACAACGACGAGTTCATCCATAGTGGCCTTGAGTGCTCTTGCACTCCATTGTCGCGAATGGATTGTTTGCAGTTTGTCTGAGGCTCTAAGGCCCCTACTGAGGTCTGCAAATTGGTCCCGGAGGGCAGTCAGGAATTCGTTCAGGTGAGTACGGGAGGAGTGTGTGACCATATCATTGTCACAGTTGGCGGCACGAGCAAGCGACCTAGCAAAGCTGGCCGCTTCATCCTTGAGCGCCTGGAATGCCACAAGCACTTGCTTCTCAGGCTGAATAAGTTGGAGGTGGATATAGGAGTTGGTATTGGCTTCCCAATTATAGAAATCCTCTCCCTTCTTCCCTCCATAGGGTTTGGGGAATCTGGCCTTAATACGCTCGCGACTGGGCCGTGCCTCCTCTTCCTCCTTTGAGGCAGCTAACTTGGCACCTTCAATGGCACCAATGCAAAACCTCTCAGTTCCTTCCATAGCAGCGGGCAACTGAGTACCCACGCGCATCATCATATCCCTTGCAAAATCTTTAAAACCTGTGCGTATGGACTGCAGGGCAATGTCATGGCCTTTCAGGTAGCGCAACTGTTCGTGTTGGGCCTTCAAAACCACCTCCATGTTCTGAGAGAGAATCTCTATTTTTCTTTGGAGGTCTACCTGTATTGCCAATTGCCCCTGTTGCTCTTCTGCGGCCTGTAGCTCTCTCTCGATCATTTCTGCCGCCTCCGATTTCCTCCTCCTTTCCCTTGTCAGGTGCAGTTTCCACTCGAGAGGTTTTCCTCCTGTATAGTCTGTCGCCTCGAGAGGTTTTCCTCTGCTTCCAACTCTTTTGCAAATGCCTCCCTCTCTGTCTGGGGGACAAGCAACAATGCCTCTTCTTCCTCCCCCAATGCCAGGTTGGCCACCCACTTGTGTACCATCTTCTCCACTTTCGCATCTACTTCTCGTGCTCCACTGGATTCCCCTCTGTTCCCTCACATTCCTTTGCAGGGGAACCTCCGCCTCTTCTTCTTCTTCTTTCTCTGCTTCTGCTTCTGCTTCTGTATCTATCGCCGCCACTTTCTCTCCTGCTCCTTTTCCCATTTCTTCATCTCCTCCTTCATCTGTCTTTGCTTGGCCTTCTGCTCTTCTATCAAGGCCAGCATCTTCGCCTGCTTTATTAACTCGTTCTCCAGTTTCTCTTTTCTCTCTTTCAGCAGGGCGGCGGCTTGTTCTTCTTGCTCTCTACTATACGGGGTGGTACTCGTTCCTTCTCGCGTGATCACCGTGGTGAAAGATGCACAACCTGTGAGAGTTCCACTCCTCACCACTTAGACTTTCCACCCACTGACTGACTGACTCTCTAAGGACCACAGAGTCCTCTCAGATCCGGTCAACTAGGGTCTCTAGCCTGAACCTACTCATAGGCTGTCAGTACACAACTCTGTTGCTGATTAGGAGGCATTTAAGGAGATCCCCATAACTCCTCAGGAATTCTTTAACGTCGCAGTCAGGACGACGTGATCAGCAGAGTTCTCTCAAGACTTAGACAGTTGGTTGTACAGCCCACAGCTCGGATTTTGGGCCTACCATGCCGCACTAAGCAGCCCGCGGGTCTATACTGGTCCTTGGGAGGGTTAGGCCTCCGGGACGTGTCAGTCATCAGACATGGAATTAAGCCCTACTCAGCCCGTGTAGGTTTGGTCAACGCAACTCTATGACCACATGCACGAAGTCCTATCACCTGGACAGAAGTGACTCAATGCAAAAAGAAGAGACAGACAGACTCGGCAAGTACCAAGGGGTCAGTGCACTCACATCCATATGGCAAGGGGGTAAGCTGAAGGCTTGGCAAGATTATACCGACTCCAGCTTGGTCAAAATTGTGGTCAGCAGCCTCCGGTAAACACTAGTCAATGGATGGTCAAACTTGGTCAACGCTTTGGTCAACCCCACCGGTGAACTCTTCTACCTCCGGCTATGGCTGCCGACCCTTCTCCTTCGCCAACCCCTCTCTCTCTCTCTCCTTCGCCCTTCTCTCTTCTTCTTTGTCGCTCCCGGCCTTCTTCTTCGTTGCAAGGTCTGAGCTCGGCGGCTATGTCCGCCACTTTCTTCTTCTTAGATGAACAACCAATCTTGTCTCTCTCTCTCTCTCTCTCTCTCTCTCTCTCTCTCTCTCTCTCTCTCTCTCTCTCTCTCTCTCTCTCTCTCTCTCTCTCCTCGCCGTTCGTCGTCTTCCTGTTCCTTGTTTACTCTCCCCCCAAGTGCGATAGCTATGGCCACCTTCTTCAACCTTGGTGCAGCGGCTTTCTTCAAGAATGGCAGTCTTCTTCCTCGCACCGGGCCTTCTCTCCAACAGCGGTTGACCTCTTCAACGATTGGCCGATGATACGCTAGCGTGCAACTTGATAGCGCACAACAACAATCCTGGGTCCGATAGCGCGTATGGGGGATAGCGTGTGACGGGCAACAGTAGCGTGCGGAGTGAGCAGCTGGCAACTAGCGCGCATAGACAAGCACAATTGGCAATGGTCGTAACGCGCAATACGTATGTGCACGTAATGCTAGCGCACGGTGCAGCGGCTGGCGTGGGGGAAACAACGGGCAGCAGCGCGGGCGCGAACTTCTATCGGGCGCGAGTGATAGAGCTCGCAGGCGTGCAAAGCTTGGCGCGTAATCTCACAGCGGGTGCGCGCGGCGGGAACGGACGGCAGCGGGGCATGCGTGGATAGCGGGCAGCGGGGTGCAATAGCGACTTGGCGCGCGGCGGGAAGGCTTGCGACGGGAACGGCCCGCGTGGTAGCTGCGGGGAATGTGGCTGATGTGCAATCTTGCACGCAACAGTGTGCGATCTGGAAGGGGAGCTCCGCCGTCTTTCCTCATGGCGGCTCGACGACGCTGATGTGGCGCACAACAGGCACCTATCTCCCCCTCTCCAACGTGGCATGCAGCGGCGATTACGACGATGATGACGATGACGACTCCAGCGCGCGATCCCGACGACGATGTGGCAGCAGTGATCGCGACCCCAACAGCGGAACAGCAGGAACCAGCTCCGATACCAATGCAATCAGACTCGTCTTTCTCGACACTCAGTATGTATACACACAGATGGCGATCAAGCTGGCGACTTGCGCCCACACAGAGCTCAGAGATAATGAAGCCAAAAACGCAGCTCAGATTCAAACTTGTCTTGGTCGGCTATGGTCGACCTCTGTACTCTCGGCAACTTGTTTGTACACACACCCTGGATCTCCCTGGATGTCCCGTACACACACACACACACACTTCACACGAACACACACACATACACACACATACACACGTACACACACACACACACACACACACACCTACTAACATTCTAATCTCGCTGGCGTGGCGGCATGGCCGCCGTCTCTCTCCTCTACTGACTAGCTATTGGCTATGGCTGATCTTCCTCCTCGTAGCCCTCTTCGTCAACGGGCACCTGCAGACCTCCGCATACAAGACACTTCGACAGTGCTTTCGCACAGCTCACCGGCAGAATGAATGAATGACTGATTGCTGCCTCTTTATTCATACTTCGTATTGTCGCTGGTCTGCCCCTCTCCATCGGGCCCGGGGTGCACACAGTCCCACATGGTAGTTGCTGACTTGACAAGGTGCGACTGGGACTGGGTACCGCTGACTAAGCAAGGTAAGACTACCCACTTGACCACTTGCCTACGGACTGACTACTAGGACTCACGAAGGGCCAGTTCCGGAACTTCCGGAAGACTGTGGCTAGACCCTTCAGTACTGTAGCAGCTACGACTCCTACCACTGCTAAGACCTCCATCTACAGATCTACGGTTCAAGAACCCAAGACCACCCTACCTGCAGCAACCAAACAGGCGTCTTTCAAAACACAGGTCGTGGGTTCAAGCACACACGGGTCGTCGGTACTGTACACGGGTAAGGGCGAGGTCTGGGGATCGAGCTCTGGGATCTGCAACTGCTGCCCCACGGTAAAAACTGTTTCACCTTGGTTTCCACTGGTTATGTTTGTGCTTTGTCAGCATGAGCATGGTGCTAAAGCAGTCATGTTTTGGCTGGTGGAAATGGATGTTCTCTTTATTTGATATTGCTTGCTGGATGAAATGAGCCAAGTACTCGTCAAGTTCAACCTCGCATATATCAATGAACATTCACATGAAGTTCACACGTGAGACTCCAGATCGAGATACGATCAACTCTTGAAGATGTCTGTCTCCAATATTATTATCAATATACAAGAATGTTGATCTCCAGCAGCTCTGCCACACACACACGCACAAAGGATCTCAACCAGATAGCGGCTATGGCTTCTCCCCCCTCCTCTCTCTCTCTGACTTGACTCGCTCTGCCTCACTTTCTCTCTCTCTTCTCTCTACCCTAGATCGTTACCCTACACCCACTCAGGTAGCTTACACCTTAGCTTCCATCCTCCTGCTCTACGGCTAGCCTAGCTATGGAGTATCTCTCAAGCGCCCTCTTCTTCTTTGGGCACGCAGTGCCCAAGTTGCCTTAACGCACAAGCGCCAGCAGCGCTTCCGCATCTCGCAACTGAACAAGTGACGAGCCACTGCACTGTAGCAGCTAAATATAGGAGTTGGCTTCGCTGGGATTGGTTTGGCTTGGCCTGCTTCAGATTGGTACTGGTTGGCCGCGGCCTGTCTGCTGCAAACATTTTGTCTGCTGCAAACATTTTGTCTGTCCGGTCGCTTCCGGACTTTCCCGGGACATGCTGCAGAATTGGACTTGGGACTGTGGGACTGGACTGGACGCTTCTGGACTTCCTTGTCTGGTACCGGATGGACTGTTACCAACCTACGACGCTTCGGTACCGACCCCTACCGACCTACGATGCTTCGGCCTCTAGACCCTACGGCCAACCCTATGGAACGGCCCTGGGACTTGGGACTTGTTGGGACCCTGGGACAGGGACTGGGTGTCTGCAGCGTGAATCCTTTCATGGATAGAGGCCGATCGTTGGGGAGGTGTACATATGACCACACAAGTTTTTGTTAGCTGGTCTTTTTCCTACAACAAGTTTCCAGTACCGTCTGTGTCATTGAGTACTGCACCGGAAATTGGGTTCAAACCCCAAAATCACATCGATTTGTTGGGGACCAGTTGTGATCACACCTTGTAATGCAGTACTGTGATTCTACCTCTGCACCCAACTGTGGTTGCATCAGTAATTCAGTGCAGACACTGCAGAGGTGTTCGCCCTCCTCTTCATTGTGCCTCGATTATTCAGCTCTCTCTCTCTCTCTCTCTCTCTCTCTCTCTCTCTCTCTCTCTCTGTGTTTGCCTCGATTCTAATGAAGCGAAAGGAATGTCTCTCTCTCTCTCTCTCTCTCTCTCTCTCTCTCTCTCTCTCTCTCTCTCTCTCTCTCTCTCTC